TTATGTACTTCACTCGCGTTCCAATATCCACGTAAAACAAAATGTTTTACATCACAGCAGTACGGTGATAACACTTGACCTTAACGACTTAACAGATTTTACTACATATTTTTTACTACAGAGTTTTTTTCCATATGTTTGACTGACTGTATTTTATTATGATAATGAACAGGCTGCAATGTCAAGGTAGCAATGCTTAACTGTGTGTGCGCAGTTAAATCACTTAAATTTCTTCCTTCTAACAGTGGAAGAAACTACTCCTTTTAGTCATAAAGATAATCAGATTTTTAAAAGGTTTGCCTTTATTTGTGTACATTCACAATAAAAACAATTCTTTGTGCTTTTGTAAAATAAGCCTAAAGAAAAATAGGATGCCGCTTTCTGCCATCTGTTTCCTTTTGCTCAGCACAAAAATGAACCGAACCTCTGCATATAGGCTACTTTTTTTTCTTACATTTTCTTAATTTATAATTGAAGTAAAAATATGTTTCTCGTATAGGCCTATTTATTCGTTTTATATATATATATATAGAGCCTAGCTTTATTATGTTTTTCTCCGATCGCAGAAGTGCTGCAGGTGCGTGATGTGATATGATGACCATGTGAATCCTCATGTTCTGTTGTTTGGTGCTTTTTGTGCATGTAAAATTAATCCCCGGGAAACAAATGTTAGTATTTTTAACGGGTCACAGACACTTATCCTTTCTAATTTAATTCAATTCTAATTTAAAATAATCTTGTCGGTTAACAATCGTTAACGAGCATCGGTTGTCGGTTAGGAAAAATAACCGAAATGAACATCCCTAATTTCCGTGCTTTAGCAGTTCATCTTACAAGTGCATGAACATGCAAATATGCATGTAAAAACAATGTGCTGGACAGAAATCCTATGACTTTACCTACTTTTACTTTTATGACATACTGTTATGCTGCTCGGTTGTCGGTTAGGAAAAATAACCGAAATGAACATCCCTAATTTCCGTGCTTTAGCAGTTCATCTTACAAGTGCATGAACATGCAAATATGCATGTAAAAACAATGTGCTGGACAGAAATCCTATGACTTTACCTACTTTTACTTTTATGACATACTGTTATGCTGCAAGATGTATTTCTCCTTTCCTAATCACATGTCTGATCAGTGATTTGCAGGCCCAAATGTATTTTTTGGGGACAATTTGTGGGATGGACTTAAATGTAGTAAAATGTAGGAAACTGTATGCCATGAATGAGTACTACACTCCTATTGGTAGATGAAATTCTATACCAAATTAGATTTAATAAATGCTAAAAATAGATTTTTATGAAAATAAAAATTAAATTTAACATATAAAACTACCATTCAAAACTTTGGGGTTATGAATACTTCTTGATAAAAAAATATAAATTATTATAAATGTTAAAATAATTATTTTAAGTTGTCATAATATTTCACAATATTATGTTATTACTTTTTTTGATCAAATAAATGTAGCCTTGGTAAGCGTATGAGATAAAAAAAAAAACTTACAGATGCCAAACTTTTAAATGGTAGTGAACATATTTGTTATACACAAATTACAATCATACATAAATACCACAGAACAATGTTACAATAAGGTCAGTATTCAGGTAAAGAAATTTAAAAATTAAGTGTAAAATAACACTGCATAGTGTTCACTGTATAAATTAAATATAGATTAATCTTTGTCAAAGCGGTGTTTTGTTGTTTGATGAGCATTAATGACAGCAGCAGGTATTTATAGGCTGTTGTCCCTTTAAGACCTGATGCACGGATCCAATATAATGATACACATCTTATTTCTTTCTCAGCTGTTCTCATTCACTTAAGACGTAACTGACTGCATTTACCAGAATGATTGTCGAGATCAGTATGTTGTCATAATTTCATGTGTATATGTGTCTGTTCAAATGCAAGGAGTTATGAAAGAGAATTCAGTTTCTCTAAAATGCACATCTAAATGTGCACATAGAAAACGGCGTGTGAGTAACGAAACAAGTTCCTTTCGCCTTTTCTTGCTAGAATGGTTTAAAATCGCTTGTGTGTGTAAACTAGGGATGTTCATTTCGGTTATTTTTCCTAATCGACAACCGACTCTCGTTAACCGACAAGATAAATTAGCAACGATAAGTGTCTGTGACCCGTTAAAAATACTAACATTTGTTTCCCGGGGATTAATTTTACATGCGCAAAAAGCAGCAAACAACAGAACATGAGGATTCACATGGTCATCATATCACATCACGCACCTGCAGCACTTCTGCGAGCGGTAGCCTATAGCCTATATAATGAATAAATAGAAGAAACATATTTTTACTTAAATATTAAATTAAGAAAATGAAAGAAAAACTGCAACAAGTAGCCTAGTATGCAGAGGTTCGGTTCATTTTTGTGCTGAGCGAAAGGAAACGGATGGCAGAAAGCGGCATCCTATTTTTCTTTAGGCTTATTTTACAAAAGCACAAAGATTTGATTTTATTGTGAATGTACACAAATAAAGGCAAACCTTTTACAATTCCGATTATCTTTAGGACTAAAGTAAAGCAGTAGTTTCTTCCACTGTTAGAAGGAAAATATTCAAGTGATTGCGCTGGCGCCGCATGCACACACAGTTAAGCATTGCTACCTTGACATTGCAGCCTGTTCATCATAATAAAATACAGTCAGTCAAACATATGGAAAAAAATTCTGTAGTAAAATCTGTGCCGTTAAGTGTTATCACCGTACCGCCGCGATGTTATGTAAAACATTTTGTTTTACGTGGATATTGGAACGCGAGTGAAATACATAATAAATAATAATTTGCCATTCAAATATATCGCGAATATGGAAACATTTGATTTTGTGTGGAATTAGCCTAAATTATAGCTTCTTATTTTTAATTATTGTTCTTTTCTAAATACTGTTAATTGAAAGGATTTGTTGTGGA